ATCGAACATCGCAATGATGTCACACAGTTCGTTAGTACAGGCCGCTGCTAGTTTGCAGTATTTAGTTCTTGGAACTGGGTTAATCTATTGACTTACAACTCTATCCTGAGGTGAGACAGATGGTTGTTGTGACACATCGTGTCTTGAATTTCTTCACCGAAGTACAGAATGGATCCAAAGGATCTTTAAGGATCGAAGATTTACTCCGAGCACTGAGTACCGCCTTGGTGTCCTCGAGGAACGACTAATCCATTGATGAGGACAAATTCAACTTTACATCGGGTCTAGTGAACACTAATTCTGATAAATATCCTGCCTTTAAGACCTGGCTACATTCGCCATCAGACACTTCGTCTAGCTCGCAAAGAGCATCAAAAGATGGAAGGATTTCTAGGCTGACGTTGGCCTCAATCTGGCCAGTCATTCCGTTGACAAGTGTATGTAGTGTAACCGCTGTTATCATTGTGTGACTGCTCGGAAGCCTGGCGACTAGCATTTGCCACCTGGCGTCCAGGTCGTCTCTTTGATAAGACCTTACACCTATTTTGGGGTTGGGACGATTGTGTCCCCGTGGTAAATACTACTAGAAGTACGCTTTATAAGAAATCTGATGTCTGGATCGACAGCCGGTGTAGTGTAACGTAACTCGAACACTTCACCCAGTGAATTTAAAGGTTCCACTTCACTTACACTATACGGGCCTAGTTTTAAACTAAATTGCCAACAATGTTATCACCAACATTAAGTGTGGTGCCTTCACGGCATACCGCACTCGGTGCATTTGCACGTGCTATCACACAACATCGAGGCAATCACATCCTTGATAACTCGGCCTAGACCGACCATGCTCTCAATATTCAGTGAATTATTATCACAACGAGTAACCCTCACCCGAAAACGTTCCGTATCACTAATTCTCAACGAGCTACGCTCGCAATTCTTGCTTTCAACATTGAAGTTAGTTAGCTCAGACATTCCAATGTCCAACACATTGACACCTCTATCAAAGGCTCGCGCCAATAGTGCTTTTGTTGCCTAGAAAAGGTGGGTTCATGACTATCCAGAACTTTGCTAGGAACATTGTGCTTAACAACTAAGGCCTTCGACTTCCGATTAATCCATGGCTCATGGCGTTCAAGACAAGCCATACCTAGGATGAGATCATTTCTTGAGTCCAAATCAGAGATAAGACAGTGTTTAATGCTGTTAAAGAGCAATAACTTTGTACTTAAGTTCAATGGAACTTTAGGTACCTTGACACGACTTCCACTCGCTAAACAAAGTGTGGTTGAATCACTCTTATGCGCTGTAAGTGCTTCAGCATAACGCTGACTTCCCTGAAGGGAACGACGTCGGAAATACTGAAAGAGGCCCCTGAATTGATTTAACATGGCCAAGGCTTTTCAAATCCTCTAACTTTTGCCTCGGCGACTAACAAGCCAGACTTGTATCCACACTCCATGCAAGTAGGTATGGAACTCTTTGGTGCTAAGTCCTGTTTTATTTTACCTTCTTAGGGTGCTACAGAACCTATTTCTTCGTCAAAAGGGCGATCCGAACCTACTGGGTATTGGCGTTTCCCCGTCCCATGACAGACTTATGGCTCCGGGTAGAGTGTTGACTCGTAGCCTGGAGCTGTCTAAGAAAGGATAATCAGGACTCAGGTATTTAGTGCTTCCGCACGTATAACACCGTCGTACTATACGTTGCTGCTCAGCAGCATAAATTTTAGCTTCAAATTCATCTTCAGCATAGCTGAGATCCATTGGTTCCGACCTATAAGTGACCGGAGTACTCGTTAAGTCTGCTCTCTTAGAGCCAGGTTTGTACATATTTCCAGCCAATTCTGGCCGACTTGAAGTTATGCTCAGCAACAAGAGCAATTCTCCCAGCCTCTTCGACTATAGAGGGGTGGACTTCATGTATTTTGGCTTGGGCAATGATGGTACGGGAGATCCTCCATTAAGATAGTTACATGGACTGCTTCAGGCGTATAGTTAGACTGCAAAGCAGTCAGGAGACTTATCGGCGCTTATACTTAGTCCGTTAGCTCATTCTTACCCTGACAGGTAGGTAAAAAGCGGAATTTCATGCAGATAGCCTTGTTAGGTGGTAAAAACACCTATGCCAAGTGTGTCTTAAGCTACTTTCAAGTGAGAAATGCTAAGTCGACCGACGTGAACACGTCAAGGTTCACCCCTATTCCTTCAATATAACTGTGACATAGCCAGCGACACCTGCTGATTATTATCTCGATCAGGCCTGACCTCACGTCTATCTTCATCTCACGAATTTAGAGAATAAGGTTCGTACCCTCCTTTTTTTCTAAGTAGTTATCTAGCCTCCACTCTAAATGGAAGAGGCCTGGCCTTATGTATGGAACATACACACACGAGGAGATAAGCCGACGCCATGTGGTCTTAAACCTGTCCTAGATGGGTCGCTTCATACTGTTAGAAGCACTCGCATGCGCAGTTAGCAACTCTGGACCTTGCGATACAAGGCGCTTTACCTACTCTATACCCAAAGATGCAGTCAACCTATCGTGCGCGACTTTTTGGGCGTCAGAGAGGGGAAGGGGGGTTCCACCTCCCAGAGAATCAGCATTCAAGGACTCAGGCATTGATTAATTAAGAGTGCTACCAAGTGTAGCGGAGCTACACAGCTCTTTTGTCGGATGAAGATTTGTGCTCAACGGGCGATATTAGCTATAAAGAACTAATTTTTTGAGTAAAAAAGTGTAAGGTCCATAGGACCTGTTCCAGGGGACCCAACGTTCAGTGAATCTACAGCACTTAGTGCTCAAGTGTAGCTACATCAGAGAGATGTTACTAAATCTGATAATTAGACGATCAGAGATGCCTTTGAAGGCACTTGTCTTAGACAAGATCAAAAGGGCAGCTGAACTTTATTCACGTTTGACTCTGTAGAATATATCAATCATACTATTACCTAATCACGGCATTCATGTCCTAAATTAATATCGACAAGATCTTTTCTATCTAATGGCTGACACCCGACAGCCCCTACAATCCTAAATCATATTCTATATCTCTTTAAGTAGGACGTTATCACGTGTGAGTCTAAGACACAGGGTACCGAGAAACCTACAATGTGTAACCACTCTAAATGTACGATGTAGCAGGCAGATGCTCATGATTTCTTTGTTTCGCGTACCTGTGCCCTTTATGCTGTCACTCCACGTTGCACATCTCTGCCTTCTTCGGTCAGCCCCATCTTTGTCAGAGATGTCAGAGCTTAATGGTTCTATTATGCAAATCCGAAAAGTAAGGCTATAAGTGACTGTGCGCAAGGTAAAATGTCGATCTTTTCAATTGTACGTAGGTGTCTGTCTATGAATTTTCGGAAATGAACCGGCCAGGTGTAGCTCACCCATACTAAGTACGATCTTGCCTGTCCCCCATCATTAGTCCAATAGCGTGTTATGTGTCACTCTATGACTAGGTCTTTACGGTGACGCACGCATGTGATCGTCATAAAATCGATCAAAGGTGAATGTGATGGCATAGACAAATGCTGGACGCATATAAGCAGAGGAAGGTTGCATTTCCCTACCATACTGTTTTAAGATAATACAGGTATCAATGGCAATGTTCCAATTCTTCAGTCACTACTGTTTTCAACTAATTTGCAACGTAATACTTACCAGCGTTCTAATTGTTAAAAATAAGGTCTCACTATTAAACACAACTAACCAAAATTATATCAATTACAAGTTAGCGTAAGAAGGGAATAGTTGCGCTGCGACCATCACGTGGTTACCTCACTGTCCGTAGTCCGTCCGTTACAGCCAAGCCCAAAAATACAAGGCACGGGTAAACATCATGGACTGTCATCTACGCAATCAGTCTTAAAGGCCCAAACTTTTCGCAGAAGGCTTTACACATTCCTCCTTTGTAATGGTATAAAATCTTACGCATTCTTTGCAATGTGCAGGTTTAAAATGTTCCTTTTCGGATGTCTCTATATTTTGGTTAGGGCGTTCTTGAAGAAGGTGGACATGGCTAAGAAAAATGAAGGGGTAGTGCAATTACTTCACTTGGTCTTCAGCCTTTACAATTTAATATGAAGGTCATCGTTGCAACGGTATTCCGCATTGTACTGCTAATTACTATCGATCGCTGTGCAAATAGCTCGACGCAGTCGTGCACAGATGCCCCTGTTGAGGCGATAGAGACCTAAAGAAAGAGTGACAGCTTTAATGTTAATTTGAGAAAGCAAGGGGAAACATTAAAATTGGCTTAGTACGACGTGTAAGCTACACTTAGAATTAGTTACAAAAACAGACAGACTTTTAAAAGTTTGGCATTTGCCTCGCTCACTGTAACAATCAGCTTCACCCGTCAGGCTTGCGATAACGACATTCAAACTGCTGTAATGCGTGCAAGTATGGGTCCAAGTCATACTGATTTCTAATTGGTGCATTCACGGAATAACTATTACTCATTGCTGGAGACGGCCCCTTAAAAACATCCACTTTAGTAACATAAAAAACATTTAATCTGAATATTTATTTTTGGAAAAAAATACAAGATACAACGATAAGACATGTTCGACAAGCGTACCCTAGCTGCTGCTGTAAGATTGAGTTTTTTTTATAACGTGTCCTTGTCATATTCCGTTCGAAACTTAGCGTTTTGCATTGTCGACATTCAAAACGAAGTATACGTGTTAATAAAAAGTAGTACATTAAGAGAAAAGTACCGTTGAGAGGTGATGTTATTTAATGGCTACGTTGAACTATAACCTGTAGATTCGAAGCACCCTAAAGTAGGCTATTCAGGTGCACTTTATGTATTCTGTCCTCACATCAACGCCAAGAGGTTAGCGGCAACTCCATCAATTCATATTCAAAACCCAACATTCCTCCCATGTTCTTGTTAAAGCGGACTTGGCTTTCGAATTAAGAGACTTGTGCTTAGAAGTCTCCTCTGGACTGCTGGAGCTCAAACTGAGTGAGTTTGAAATCTTTGATGCGACTAATTTGGCTCTTCTACCTTGATGTCTTTAGCAAGCTTCGAGCTAATCACCTGCTTCACAGCATCTACCGCTTTTTCGACCACCCACCCGTCCAAATTTTCCCTTTCTCCACGATTAGCCTCACCAAAATCAATGTCCACTCGTAGCATACGTTTGTCGTCCGTCTCCGACTGAGCGGACGAGCCTAGGTTCGTCATCGATAATTTGGATGGCCTTTTGGGTGAGTGATCCAAAGGAGCACCACTGCCAGTAGACACGGCAAGTGCAAGCCCTATATAAGAATACGCTTGGCCATTGAAGACGACTTTGGGTAAGGCGATCGGGTGATTGAAAAGCGAACTCTTTGATTCTGGCGGCGCACAGAATGCACATACAGAAATGAACTTTGTGAAGGGTCTCAATTTATGATGTGGTGGGTGACTTGCGATGCAGTGTCATCAAGATATCAATATTTGTAGGAAGTTAACTGTAGGGAGAACTTGAGCGCTGAAGAATTTTGAAGAAGAACTTGCAGCACGACGAACTGGCTTGCCGCATGACGACCTAGCTGCCCACAGAATTTTGATAACTAGATTGCATCTCACTCATAGCCAATACGTCTCATTGTATTGAGGTTTCGAGGTAAATAGGGGAGCGGGACCACTGTCTTGATTCGAATGAAGATCGGATAATGGAGACGAGATATATATATTAGAAAGTTTAACGTCTTCGCACGTTTTCATAATTTGTACGAAGGAGGAGTTTCGCGATTGTCTATTTACATGTTAACATAAGCAAAATGTCTGAAAGTCCTGCGCCAGATTTTTAGCTATGTGCATGATCTCTGGAACAGCCTGAGCCAAGATGTTAGCGCTGGAGGATCCGGGGGCTAACCACCTGGCTTTAAAATCCCTTTAAAGGCGGTCCATCCACGATGGTCGGCCTCCGTGTGCCGCTTGCGCGGTCCATCGACGTAAAGTGTAGCCACCGAAGTAACCATCAGGCATGGGGAACGCCAACCCGTCGTAGTATCCCCCCGATGAGATCATCCATCTGCGATGGTGGCTCTTATCGGCCGCTTGCGCGACCCCGTGACGAGGATTGTGATCACCAAAGTGACAGCAAGGCGTGGGGAACGCCAATCCGCCGTAGTATACCCCCGAGTAGCTCATCCATCTGCGGTGATGGCTCCCATCGTCCACTTGCGCGACCCGTCGGTCCACTGCGTCCACACCTGAGATTGCGAGTGCAGCTTGCTCGAGGCAGACTCCAGACCTCTTCGGATCCCTTATATGGGAGGGTTTCCTTCGAAGTGGCCGCCCCTTATTTTCATGCTTTGTATGAATATCACAGTCGTTCTTAACTACACAGAAAGTAGTTGGTATCTTCGACTGTCTTTGTATTAAATGTTTGAGCTTCTCCAATGTTGTTATCTAAAATCTGTACCTTATCCACAATTTCCTACAATGTTTCGACAAAAAGAAGCCATAGCGATGTCTTACGTACTGTCCATTTAAAGTGACTTTTTAAGCACCTGCCTATTGTGGCACCGCGCGTAGTTCTCATGCCACAAAAATTGAACAGTGTGGTGGGTCACCATACCAGACAGACACCTCCACACGCTCGAGAAAGTTTAGAGACATAACCACACGACAACGTTGCACTGTTATACCGAAACGACACAGACTGCTAATACAGCAATCGCGTCGCTGCCATGTCATTTAAATTCACCTCACGCATGCATTGTAAAAGGCCATTTCAAACTCATGTTTTAAGAATAATTTAAATACATTGCTGTTGCCATTTTATTGACATTAGGTGAGAGAGTGTGGAACAAACATGGATTTGTTAAGCTCAAGACCAGAACTAAACCGCTAGTGTAATAAGCTCAGACCACTAGTGTTAGTGTGACCCCGGCCGAAGACGTGTGGAGCTTGCTGGCTAGCAGCTGAAATGCATGATACCAAACCCTAATGTTCATAGAAAACTTAATGTCCTGGTGAGTCGACACTCGTGATCAGAGTACAACATAGCTGTTATCGCTTTTATATAAACCTCTCAAACATGGTGCTAAACTACCCATGCTACTAGTCCGTGTACCCTTCCCGCCCATATTCTCCCCATTTACGTAGAACTGACCACTAACGACTCTGGCTACGTATCTAAGCGCTTCGCTAGAGTCTTTAATGGCCCATTATGGTGCTTTTTGTTGTGAGGTAGGAGAAAACTATGGCTTATCAGTGCCGCTCCTCGGTCTAGAACAACAAAATTTGTGAAGATTGTAACGGGGCACCCTGGAGCTTGTACTGGTGACAGTACAAGCTACTTATTCTGATGACAGAATAAGGCGGTGCCTCGTAACTTCACGTACACTCGTACGTGCAGAGGAAGACGGTAAGAAGAAGCGAGTGCTTAGTTTAAGTAAAAAGTAGAACTGCATTTATAATAGTTAATGTCTGCAATAAATCACTATTTATCTTTATCTAACTATGTCTAAATACAAATGTGTAAATCAGTTATCTGCTCACCACTCATTGCGTGCGTCTGTCGTGGCGCGTCTTCGTTAATTGATATAATGGCCTATATCAACCAATTAGGAACTACTTGTAAGTGCTACAGAATATTTGTCCTTATGACAATATTCTGAGAATATAACTCTTATAGTTATATTCTATTAACAATTTCTTATAAATTGTGATGTAACGATTCACCCCGTTACATCACCCCCCCCTTAACCATCAGACACTTTAGTGAATGATTGATTAACTGGATACTCGTCCCAAATCATTTGGGACAGGGTTTGCACTTGTTGGTTCAAGTCCACTCTCCAACAATTCATCGCATGGTTAACAAGTCCATGCGATGCGCGAACAAGGCCGCCGAGAGCGCGTCCGCACGTCTCTGTGCGGACGCCGAAGCAGAAACTGCTGCAGCCGATGTCTCATCGGTTGCTGAAGCGACTTAGCCTGTGTCACCTGGTGATGCAGGCGCTGGTCATGAAGACACTCGTGTCTTCACAGAGTACGAGCTCGGTGTCTCCTACTCTCCTGATACGGATGACGGATCCGTATCGACGGCGATCGAAACCAAGCCGCCTGCCAAGCGTGGCATGGATGATGCTACGCGTCGTAGCATCTTTGGTTCATCTGATGAATCAGATGAACCATCGCCGAAGCGAAGGCGCTCGAGGTCGCGAGACTCGGGCGCTAACAGCGGTGTCGGTTCTCCTATGGACACCACTTCGCAACGAGGTGCCATTACCTCTGTCGGCACGTCGCAGGAAGAGCGGGACCGCAATGTGTTGCGTCTCGCTCCAGAAAAGAAGGCATGGATGCCTCAAAAGTCAGTCATGGATCACTTGTCGGCGATGATGAGTGATCGTTATCGAACACGATTGTTCGATTCGTCAAGGATCCATCACCTTGACCCCAGTGCGAAAAACTATCGCGCTGAACATGAATTCTTCATCGATGCTTTCTTCAGACATCGATGGTACAGTGGGAATCACAAACGTGATGGTCCCTCACTGCTTCAAGCGTGGAACGCTTACATCTATAACTTTGAGGATGTAGGTCGTGACGTTTGGAACGACAAACTTATCAAAGCTCGTGATAGGCTTGAAAAGCGAACCCTGACAAGTGCATGCTACAACTGCATCGTCTGTCTAAGGAGGGTGGGTTACTCTGTCTTTCCTGGGGAGACTCGTGCCCATGTTGTATAAATAACTTTGCGCGCGCACCTAAGGAGGTTTACCTCCTTACTAGCCCGTGGTGGCGTGTATGTATCTCTAGTGAGATGTACGAAGGGATTGACAACCTGAAATCCCTTTACGACCGTTCCGGGAAGACTTTCTACGGCGATCCTTCTGCGGCACAGGATGTGCCGCGTCGTACTGCTCAACCAGACCCAGAACGTCAACCATCAGTTGGGATCGAGGCTCCCAAGTATCCCAGGACGGAGCATAACCGCGCCACCGGACGAGATAACTCGTCCGACGTCCGTTCACGTCGCGGTGGTTCAACAGCTGCTCAACTAGATAGCGCTGGCCACCGTGAGAGTCCTCTAATGGAGGTGGAGGAGGAGGAAAGACGCTCTCCACACGATCGTGGGGGAGCGTGTGTCCCCGAGAGCCTCTTTGATCGCGTAACGCAAGGGTTACGCGGCGATCTCGAACATGAGCGGGACAGGCGTCTCCAAATGGCGGACACTGTCTTGAAGCATCAAGCTGAGTTTGCCTTTGCTCAGCTTGAGAACGAGAGAGCTTTGACATCTCTGCGTGACAAGCTAAGGGTAGACCGTGTGGATATCGACCGGTCTGGGGCTGAGACAAATGTTTTTCAGACCCTTGTTGATGTCCACCATCGGGAGCACAAGACTCTCTGTGAGATGCTTGAGCGCAAGGGTGTTCTTCATCGGAAGAAACAGCGTACTGATAGTACGGCTTAAGCCAACCAGCGTAAAACGTGGGATGCGCTCGCATCTTACGTGGCAACTCGATCGTGAATGCATTGCCTAGGCGGTGCAATACACGAAATGGGCCGATGTACTTGGGTAGAAGTTTACTACTACCCACGTTAGTCACTACATGCTTTGATAGATTAACCGTAGACAGTAGGACTAAGTCACCTTTATTAAATAAAAGAGTGTTTGCCCTTCCATTCTTGTCAGCGTTTTGCTTTTGCTTATCCACCGCTTCGGCGATGGAGTCTTGCACAAAACGGACTACCGTTTCACGAGCCAGTATGAACTCATCTGCTGGCTCGTTAGCTTCAGTGCGCTGTGAGCGCACTGCGGCGACAACAATCTTTTCTTCAGTGAGGTCTTCCGCACTCTCACTGGCATCATCTTCTTCGATATCATATGTTATCGATATCGGCATCAAACGCAATGACCTCTTCGTCAGAGCGTGATGAGCGTGAACCAAATCGGTTTTTGCTCGCGCGAGTCCCCCCCCTTAAACCAGAGTCAAACTCTAGTAAGGTGGGTACACGCGGATGGCGTAAGCCATTCACGTAAAACGGTGTATGTGTCGTGGACGCATGCACCGAGTTGTTGATGACAAACTCTACCATTGGCAAGAACTCACTCTCCAACTCTTAAAGGAGTGTACGTATCCTCGAAGTATCTCTTCTAGGACACGATTGGCACGTTCCGTCTGACCATCTGACTCTGGATGATCAGATGTCGACATCTTCAAGCGCGTTCCGAGTGATTTGAACACGGAACGCCAGAAATCAGCAGTGAATCGTGGATCTCTGTCTGATACGAGTTCACGGGGCAACCCATGAAGTCGGAAGATGGTGTCAATAAAGACACAAGCACAGCCACTTGCCGTGATTGTCTCTGGTACAGCCACAAGGTGTACCATTTTGCTGAATCTGTCAACAAATACGAGAATACCCGTATTCCCGCGTGCGTCTTTGGGTAACCCGAAGACGAAATCCATTGAGATGGATTCCCAGCACTCAGCCGGAACCGGTAGAGGCTGTAAAGGTGCACGCAGTGAAGGACTTGACTTCACTCGTTGACAGACTTCGCATGCGCGAATGTGCTTGCGCACAAACTGATACTGGCGGGGCCAGAAAAATTCTCGACTCACCGTGCGATATGTTTTCTCACGGCCACGACGTCCTCCTATAGGAGCATCGTGATACTCGAACATGATCCGCAAACGCAGATCAGTATCATCTGGAATGACAACACGTGGTGTGTCACCAGTAACGGCTGTATAATACAGTAAACCATCGCGAGTAGTGTATCGATCTGATGCAGATCGATACGCAGACGGCAATCGTTTAAACGATTCTCGAGATTGCTGTGAGAGATGTGTCAACAACTTCACAATCTCACCATCTTGGGCGTATGCCCGCCTCACATCATCGTACAACGTTGTAGATGGGACTGAGGACGTCATAACCGCTACAGTGACTGTCTCACTGTTGGGTTTCGCGACTGTTTCAAATTCGGGTCGACGTGAGAGTGCATCAGCGACGACATTAAGTCGTCCTGGTTTGTACTCGACCGTAAAGTTGTATTCCGCAAAGAATGACAACCACCGCGCCATTCGTTGTGAAATGTGCGGGCTGTTCACTGCCGTGCGTAATGACGCATGGTCGGTGTAAACAATGAAGGGTCTATCTCCTAATAGATAGACTCTGAACTTTGCAAGTGCATACTTCATGGCAAGGAGTTCCTTGTCATGCACTGGATAGTTCCGCTCAGCTGGTTGCAGATGACGCGACTGATAGCAGACGACGCGTTCAACGCCTTCAAGGTCGTACTGCATGAATGCACAGCCGATTGCGAATTCGCTGGCATCACAGACCACATGAAATGGTCTGTCCTGATCGGCAATCGCTAGGACTGGGGATTGTATCAAGCTCTGCTTGATACCATCAAAGGAGCGCTGACATTAAGCGTTCCATAACCATATCTCGTTCATTTTCAACAAACGAGAGAGGTGTACAGTCATCTCGGCGTAATTGCGTGAATGCTTATGCAAATACGCCGCTAGCCCAAAGAATTTTCGAAGACCTTTGACGTCGACTGGCACAGGCCAGTCGGTGATCGCCTTGATCTTACCAGGATCAGAACGTACACCGTTCTTACCAACGATGCACCCAAGAAGTGGTATTTCGCTTGCTGCAAATATACACTTCTTGAGGTTAGCATACAATTTATGCTTTCGCATGATTGTAAGAACCTGTCGGACGTGGTACCTGTGAACCTCAACATCCGACTTTCCATCCATAGCCCGACTATGGATGAATACGTCATCGAAATAACTCGGTGCGAGTTCTCGTACTGGTCTCAACAGATGTGATACACATCTGTTGAACGTGGCAGGGGCATTACTGAGCCCTTGTGGCATTACTAGCCATTCCCAGAGCATGCCGCTAGGCGTGCTAACTGCGATATAGGGTGTATCCTGTTCTCGCATAAGGATTTGATAGAAGCCATCCATCGAATCCATGGACGAAAAGATGGTACTCTTTGACATACCATCAATGATGACGTCCTTCCTAGGTATCGGCGTCTGATCCGGTACCGTTGCAGCGTTAAATTTGTTGAACGCGTGCACTATCCGCCACCCTCCTGTTGCTTTTCGCACACAGAATTTCGGAGAGCTATGTGGGGAAGTTGATTCCCTCACATGGCCCGCAGCTAAACGATCGGCAAAGAACTTGTCGATCGCAAGTACTTGCTCACCAGGCAGTGGCCACTGCTTCATGACACAGTACTTCGAGCCTGGTAAAAGCTCGACCTCGTGTCGAATACCTTTATCCTTCGGTAACTCGCACGGAACAGTTTCAGGGAATACATCCTTGAATTCAACCAAATCTTCATAGAGAGGATTCTTGAGCGATTCCCATGATTGGGAGTCATATCGCTCAATTTGTGTCTTTTCATCTAGAACACTCTCATCCATAGATGAACTACTGAGAACTCTCTCGTTCTCAGTAAACACTGTTGCTGACCTTATGTCGGTTACACACTCGTCGTCAGCGACGAGTACGCAGATCTGCTTGACTTTGCCACTACGCAGATCACGCAAGAACCTTTTATGTTCGAGCGTTGGCAACTGAGTGATCTCCGAAGTCAACTTCGGAGGCGCAATCAGATCAAGTGTATAAGCGCCTACACTTGATCCGTTATTGACTATGACATTCAATGTCTCTGTCATTTCCTGGGGACTTATTCCCACAGGCCTCGAAGGACTTATTCCTTCGGCTTCCCGGGGACTTATTCCCTCGGGTTTCGGGGAACTTGTTTCCGCCGTATTTGTAATATCGGGACTTATTCCCTTTACTTCCTCTAGCTGTGGTTGCGCAACCACAGCGAGATCCTCTACGAAAGACTCTCCAGTCGATCTAGGATTATCGTTTCGCTTAACCTGAGCGATCGATTGTTTCTCTTCTAGATGTTCCCCTCTAGGGATACATCTTTGTCCCAGTCCACCCGACTTATTCGAGTGGTGGGCCTTCGGCGCAGCCTGTGTTTCCTCACAGCCGCCGGAACTTTGCTCCGAAGTGTAACCGTTTGGTACACTAAGGTTTTGTGCAGTCGTACTAACGACCGTACCACAAGTGAGGCCATCGCACTCACTCGTAGTACATCCACACGCTTGTGGACGCTCCAAAACGTTCATCAGATGGCCATCTGATCAACAAGCGGCAGGCATCGTTACTGTTCGATGTTGCCAGTTTACCCGTGGTTCGTACCTTCTGAGCCACGGTATTCCAAGGATGACATCAAATTTGTCATCCAAATCCAATACGATAAAGTCATCATCATATTGGGTATCTTCTAGCGTATAGTGAATCTTCGCTATACGCTTCATGACGGTTACAGATGCGCCTGTCGCAAGACGTACCGTCATCCTCGTAGGAGGTGTGTCACATTCACTGAACTTGAAGTAACCATCTTCTAGCGATTGGCGTCACACAAAATTGTTGGACGCCCCACAATCGACTAGAGCTCGAAGGGACAACTTATTCGTCACTTCGAGTTTCAAGGTAATGAGTGAGTCCTCATTACCTAGAGCGGCAACGCACAATGTTTGTGTGTTGGGAGCAACCTTCATCAAGAGGTCTACAAATTCTCTTGACGTTGCTGGACCAGTAGTATGCTCCGCACCTACTGATCCTGACCGTTTTTTGACGGTCCATCCCGTTGTTGCATCTTTGCACCAACAGCGGACCCGCGTCCCTGCCCCTTTCTCATGGGTGGACGGTCACTACGCCCAGTGTTGCGAGACACTGGACGAGGGGCACTACACTCGTAAGCTTAGTGTCCCGTCTTCTGACATCTGTTGCATCTCTGCAACCTTTTGTAGCCTGTAGAGCGAGCCTTCTCGCTCTCTACATAACAGAGTTCCATCGGCTCTGGATTCCCGCTTTCATATCGTCTCGGTTGAATAAATGATGTCGAGCTGGCGCGAGCCTGTCTCAGACTGAAGTCTTCCTGTTCCGCAATGGAAATGGCTTGTTCTAGTGAATCTAGTTCAAGCCGGAACAGGTGAGTCTTAACGGGACCATCCGCAAGACCCTGCATGAACACCGAAACCAACGTGTGTTCATCAACCGGGTTGGAACTTATACAACTCGTGAGATGTCGTATATGTTGCGCGTAAGCGTGCACATCACGCTTATCCTGCTTGAGCTTCAAGAGTTCGGTTCGAGATCTGAACTCAGCTCTAGGCGGTTCAAATGTTTGTCTGAGCCGCGACTTGAAGACTTCTAACGAACCAAACGCATATGGGTCGTGCAACTTGAGCCCCAGTGCCCAAGATTTGGCACGTCCTGCCAGATTTGAATGGGCAAATGCAACTTGCATATCCCCGTCATCGATGCGACGCGCCCTTATGGCGTCATCCAATTCGACGAACCATCTCAAGAGGGAGTCCTCTTCGACTCCCCTATACTTGGAGATGTCAATCTTCAAGGTCTCGGGTCGACGTGAGTGCATCGACCCACCCGCAGCAGCCTGCTGCTGTCTCAACAGTTCAAATTGTTGAGCACCCTGTTCTCTCAACAACTCTGCTTGTTGAGAACCTTGTTGGTGAAGCAAGGCTAATTTTTACGTTCTGCGTCAAGTTCATTTTGAATGAACTTGGCGATAGTAGCATGTTGGGCATCTCTATTGAGAGCCTCTAGCATGATGCTAACAGCGTGGATGCCCATGGTAGAACCCATCCGTTCAACCTCATCCCATTCGATATTGCTCAAATGAGAGTAGCCGTCACGCGTAGCATGAAAGCTTTGGTCATCATCATCATCCAACATATTCATGTTGGATGTGAACGTGGTCCTTGGACGGACTACGAAGTGCTACCAGGTGTAACGGGGCACCCTGAAGCTTGTACTGGTGACAGTACAAGCTACTTATTCTGACGACAGAATAAGGCGGTGCCTCGTAACTTCACGTACACTCGTACGTGCAGAGGAAGACGGTAAGAAGAAGCGAGTACTTGGTTAAAGTAAAAAGTAGAACTGCATTTATAATAGTTAATGTCTGCAATAAATCACTATTTATCTTCATCTAACTATGTCTAAATACAAATGTGTAAATTAGTTATCTGCTCACCACTCATTGCGTGCGTCTGTCGTGGCGCGTCTTCGTTAATTGATATAATGGCCTATATCAACCAATTAGGAACTACTCGTAAGTGCTACAGAATATTTGTCCTTATGACAATATTCTGAGAATATAACTCTTATAGTTATATTCTATTAACAATTTCTTATAAATTGTGATGTAACGATTCACCCCGTTACAAAAATGCATCATCGCTGATCGATTACGTCAACATAAACAGTATAGCCCGTCGTGTGAAGGCACAGAAGGTATAAATTGTTGATGAGAAGATCCACCAAGATAACGTTGGCGACGTGGCAACAGCAGCAATTTTAGGGAGGGGTAGACAATTGGAGAAGAGTAGGTAGGATATGTTTGGATGTGGAACCAGGCGCACGTATACTTTTATCATTGACTGTAGGTTCTGCTAGGAATTGTTAAGCGATCTAAAATGTAGAAGAGTGAGCGTTAAAGCTACGGACAGAACGGACTGGACACAGCAGCTCGTGGACGAAATATGTATTCTGTTAAAGAGGAATTACGTAATAAGGTGCTAGTTTATGATTTGGAGTCGAATCAAGCCGAGCAATATGGGTCTGTTGCTGTATCTTGGTACGACAAACCAAGTGAGATTTTTGAGGCGAGGTGGATGATGTGCGGATTACGTGCTTGGTGTTTCATCGCGTCCCTAATAATGAAGCGCTTCGCAGCACACATCTATAAGCAGCATCACTATCATGTCGCAATTGTTTTTCGGTGAGCTTTGCTTGGTCCTGGTCTTCTACAAAGTAGCTACCACTCTGACTAGACGATGACCTTAGGCATTTGATATAATCCGCGTACATCCACGACAGCTTTGCGACACCATAGACGTTTGCGTGATCTACCGCAGTTGCGAGACTCGGACCGGTAAATTTTATATTCTCTACTTCGCGACCGTCCCGCATCACCTTGTGGGTGCATTTCGTGATCTACTCCTTCTACGGGAGTATTTGCTTTGGATTGTCCATGTTAAATCTACTCATACGCCTTAGACTTTGCGTAGGTAGATCACCCGACACTGATCAGAGAACACGCTTTTTGATTCGTAGAATATGAGTTGCGCACAATAACAACTTCAAATCAGTGGATCAAACACTTACCGTATATGTAACGGGGTAAAACGTCACATGAAATTGACACCAGACGGTGTCAATAGAGATATTGTCCAGCGTGACAATGTCCTTTATTTTTATCTGAGATGGATGATGTTAAGGTAGTACTATCCCCTTATAGGATACTATTCATGCGCTGCTCAAAGTTTGGCTGATACAAGACATGTAAACCATAGATTACCACCAATCGTCGCTAGACGCGCGCAATTAGTGGTGATCAGGTTGTCGTCATCCGGCCATGTAGATTAATACAGGCAGATTAAAAAAGAATTTATATTAATAGCTTAACTACATCAAATTCAGTTCTCTTCTTGCCCTTTACTCAACATAGCTGTTGAGTAGATTAGCTTCCTCTGCACATACTAGTGTACGTGAAGTTTCGTGGCACCCCAAGCAAAGGGTGCCCCGCTACACCTGGTAGCACTTCGTAGTCCGTTGAACGACTACCTAGTGTCCGTCCAACATGAACATGTTGGACGTAGAAGACGACAGCTTTCACGTCACATGTGAAGGCTACTCCCATCTGAGTGACTCAGAGTGGGAGGTAGTCGGCCGCATGAGTGTGCCCATGGGCGAACCCGCCATCAGTGGTATGTTGGAGTCTCTAAGCAGAGACCAGCAACATGCTGCTATCAACAAGTTTCTAAAAGAGGAGTTTGCCGTCAAAAGACAGAAGATAGCCTTGCAACAACAGCAACGCTCTCATCATTCGATGGGTGGGCCGACGCACACGCGTCAACCCGAAACCTTGAAGATTAATATCTCAAGGTACAAGGGAACCGATGAAGACTCACTTTTGAGATGGCTCATCGAGTTAGACGATGCCATCAGGGCCCGTCACATCGAGGGTGACGAGATGCAAGTCACCTTCGCCCTGTCAAATTTGACTGGACGAGCAAAGCCTTGGACCTTAGGTCTCAAGCTTCACGACTTAAACGTGTTTGAGTCGTTGGAGATCTTGAAGTCTGGGCTCAAATAGACATTTAACCGCATCAATTCGATCGAAGAGGACGTGACTATGGTAGTGCACCCACAGTCAGTACGCGTATTGGAAGTAAATTCCAGCGTTCCTGAAAGCAATAAATCCCAAGAGAGTTATGTTAAGGGTGTAGATCCTCAACCACCTGCGGATGCTTTCGCGTAGGAAATCACCGAGTCAGTGAAGACTTGGTGAATGACGGATCAAGTGTAGGCGCTCACACACTTGATCTGGTTACACCTCCGAGGTCAGCTTCGGAGGTAATTAAGTTGCCAACGCTAGAATCTGAAAGATTTGTGTGAGATCTGCGTAGTGGCAAGATCAAGAAGATCTGCGTACTCGTCACAGAGGACGAGTGCGTCACCGATAATTGGTCTGCAAAAGTGTTTGCTGAGAACGAACGGGTTCTCAGTAGCTCATCTATGGACGATATTGTCCTCGATAAAAAGACCCGAATTGAGCGATGCACGTCTCAATCTTGGAAGTCTTTGAAGACAAATCCTTTGTATAGGGATTTGGTCGAATTGAGGGATGCTTTTCCTGAATCCGTGCCATGCGAGCTGCCCAAGGATAAAGGCACTCGGCATGAGATCGAACTAAAACCTGGTTCGAAATACTGTGTCATGAAGTAATGGCCACTGCCTCGTGAACAGGTAACAGCGATCGACAAATTCTTTGCCGATCGATTAGCGGCTGGTCATGCGAGGGAACCAACATCCCCGCGCAGCTCTCCGACCTTCTGTGTGCGAAAGGACACAGGAGAATGGCGGATAGTGCACGCGTTAACAAGTTGAATGCTGCAACGGTACCGGATCAGACGCCGATGCCAAGGAAGGACGTCATCATTGATGGTTTGGCTAGAGCAACATATTTTCATCCATGGATTTGATGGATGGATTCTATCAGATCCTCATGCGTGAACGGGATATCCCTTACACAGCAGTGAGCACCCCCAGTGGTATGCTCTGGTAGTGGCTAGTGATACCACATGTGCTAAGTAACGCCCCGCAACGTTTAACAGATGTGTTACGAACATGTTGCGATCGGTGCGCGATTTCGGACCGAGTTATTTCGACGATGGCTTCGTCCATAGCCAAGCTATGGATGGAAAGACGGACGTGGAGGTTCATAGAATCCACTTCCGGAAGGTTCTTACTCTAATGCGAGCGCATAAGTTGTTCGCGAACCTCAAGAAGTGTATATTTGCAGCGAACGAAATACTACTTCGTGGCTGCATCGTAGGTAAAGACGGCGTACGCCCTGATCCGGAAACGATCAAGGCGATTGCGACTGGCATGTGCCAGTTGAAGTCAAGGGACTTCGAAAATTCCTTTGCTTACCTGCACAAGTACTTGCGCAACTACGTCGAGATGATTGCTAATATATCTCGTCTGTTAAAGAAATACGAGAGGTGGTCATGGAGTGCTGAGTGTCAGCACTCCTTCGAAGGTATCAAGAAAAGCTTGATACAATCGCCTGTGTTGGCAATTGCAGACCAGGACAGACTATTCAATGTGGTCTGTGACGCCAGCGGTTTTGCGATCGGCTGCGCGTTAATGCAGTACGACTCAGACGGCGTCGAGCGCGTCGTCAGTTATCAATCGCTTCAGCCTCAAGCGGCTGAGCGTAATTACCCGGTGCATGAAAAGGAACTACTTGCCATGTAATATGCACTGGCTAACTTTCGGGTACATCTCTTAGTCGATAGGCCCTTCATCGTTTATACCGACCATGCGTCGTTACGCTCGGCCGTAAATAGTCCACACCTCTCACAACGAATGGCGAAGTGGGTGTCTTTCTTCGCTGAGTACAACTTCTCCGTCGAGCATAAACCAGGTCGACTTAATGCCGTCGCTGATGCTCTTTCGCGTTGGCCCAATTTCGAGCCGACCGCTTAACCTAACAGTCCGGATCATCCCACGGTAGCGAACTAACAGTGAGTGTTCCGTCGTCGAATATGCTCGACGAAGTGCGGAAGGCGTACGCAGAAGATGAGTCTCTTCTGTGATTGATGGATTGCGTTTCTAGTCTATGTAGTCAAGCTTTGAAAAGCTTGGTATCTTAATACCACTCTTCAACCGAAAGGTGTTCGGTTCGTGATGGACTGCTGTACTATACAATAGTCACGGCGACACACCTCGTGTCGTCGTTTCTGCTCATGATGCGATTGCGCATCATGTATGAGTGTCACGATAACCCAACAAGTGGGCATCGCGGTAGAGAAAAGACTTACCTCACGGTAATCGTGACTTCTACTGGCCACACCAGTACAAGTTTGTGCGCAAATACATTCGCGCTTGCGAAGTTTGACAAGGGGTGAAGCCTAATACTTTATACCGTGCACCCTTGCAACCTCTACCGATTCCGTCAAAGTGCTGGCAGTTCCTATCGATGGTATTCATCTTTGGTTTTTCCAAAGAAGCTAAAAAGAATACTAGTTTTCTTGCGTTTGTTGAACGGTTCAGCAAGGTGGTGAATATTGTTTCTGTACCGGAGTCAATTAAAGCTCAGGGCTGCGCTCGTGTCTTCATTGATACTATCTTCCGACTTCACGGGTAACCCCGTGAGCTCGTGTCTGACAGGGACTACCTCTTCACAGCGGAGTTCTGGCAATCTGTGTTTTGTTCACTAGGAACACGTTTGACGATGTCGACTTCTGACCATCCAGAAACAGATGGTCAGACGGAACGCGTCAACCGCGTCCTCGAAAAGATACTTCGAGGAAACGTCCACTCGTTTGCAAGATGAAGTGAATTCTTGTCGATGGCGAAATTAGCCATTAACAACTCGGTACATGCGTCAACCTCGAATGCAACGCTCTTCGTGAATGGCCTACGCCATTCACGTTTACCCGCCTTCTTAGAGTGTGACTCTAGTTTAAGGGGGGGGGTGGACTCGCTCGAACAAAAACCGATCTGGTTCTCGCTCATCACCCGTCGACAATGGTGTCGACGTGATGGATGCCGATGTCGATGCGAACGATATCGATGATGATGATGATGACGACGATGCTGGCATATTCAGCATCACCAAAGACTTCCACAGTGAGGACGATGACGCCCTCGCTGGTAAAGAAAACGTTCTTCCAGCAGTGCACACGAAGCGAACTGCTGTTGACAAGGATGAATAATCAGAGGAATTTCTGCTGACTCGCGAAGCGGTTGTCCGCTTCGTTCAAGACTCGATCGCAGATGCACTGGACAGATAAAATAGAAACGTAGACAATCGTAGAAGGGCAAATGTTCTTTTATTTGATGAAGGAGATTTGGTTTTACTGTCTACAAGAAACCTACCGAAACACGCAGTGACAAACGTGGGCAGCAGTAAATTACTGCCCAAGCTGATCGGTCCATTTCGTGTGTTGCGCCGAATGGGCAACGCATACACGATTGAACTGCCCCGTAAGCTGCGTACGCATCCTACGTTTATCGTTGGACGTCTCCGCCTGTACTATCAGTACGAGCCCGTTTTGAGAGGCGAAGAAAACATCCGCGTTCGAGAGCCGAGACCACTTTCGAGTGGTCCCGTTTCAACGAGCCAGTCTGGTCGACGACCTTCTCGCGCAGTTGAGCGGTGTCTCGACGATCTGCAGCCAGCTCGTCACGAAGACAACGAGTCGAACGTTCGTTCTCAAGTTGTGCCAGTGCAAAAGCGGCACGATCGTCCGAACGATCGTTCGCTAAGGAGCTGTAATTACCCTTTACAAGGTCATGAAACTCATAACGCCGAGTTCGTTCATGATCCAGGTCATCTAGTAACTATTCCGTTAAACGGTTCAGCTTTTGAACATAAAGCTGATCCGACCCTTGAGCCGGATCAGGTGTTCCCGCCTCCACCACATCCTTTGGTGGACTCTGTAGGTGGTTAACGCTTTCTGGTGGAGCGTATTTTGAACCACCGCAACGTGAAGGGCGTCCGGACGAGTTACCTCGTCCGCTGGCGTGACTACTTACCGGCGTGGGAAAGCTGGAAATCTCATGCCCACCTGATGGTTGATGTCCTTGGTATCGTCGAGCAATAAGACGAGACCCAACCGCTGTGTTCGAAGAAGGACCGTCGGAAAACGACCTCCCCGAACGTGAGTACAGGGATTGCAAGGTGTCGATTACTTTGGCCATCTCGGAAGAGATGCGCGTCCTCCAGTAGGGAACATTAGAAACTTAGGCCTCCCAATAAGCACGATTCGATCTGTCCAGATAATTTGGACACGAATCACCCCACGAGAGACAGGTCAATCCTGCCTCTCTTGACAGTCAATGCAACTTGTAGAGTACATCGACTGAGTTGCGATTTTCAAACCTGATGCGAGCTGCATCGAGTTTATCAAAACAGGCTTCACGGCCAATGCACTCGATGAAATAGACGAAGGTGTTGCATCCTGCACCAAGGCCTTACCATCTCGGCCACGGTTGCCATTGCACCATCGATGCTTGTAAAACGCATCGATGAAGAATTCTTCCTCAGCACTGATATTTTTCGTGCTGAAGTTAGGAGAGCAGATCTTCCTAAAGTCGAATAACGGGATTCGGTTTTGTTCGGTAGTCATGCCGTCCAACCGGTCCAACTCTCTGGATGACTGCATCCAAGGAGACTCCACTTGAGGAGAGTGGTGCAGGATATTTCTGTCCCTTGCCTCTTACTTGGTGTCTGAACGAGCTCTGACACCAGTGGCAGCTCTATCCCTCGAGTTACTTCTCTCGTGGTGGTGTATAGTTGCTTCACCACCTGCTACTATGCGGTTCAGGTCTTGTTGGGAGATAGTTTTTTGATCGGCTTGCTAATATTATCCCTGATACATCTTAAAAAAGGTAGGCGAGTATTTCGCAACGCGCTTGGATGTTTTAAGACATGTGCGTGACGCGTCAACTGAAATCCAAGACCAACAAAAACAACAAGCATATCCTAAATACAGCGTTTGTACTGATTATTATAAGGTACGATATCATGTATTACTCAGAGCTAAAATCTACCTTCGAATGCAGTGTCCGCTGTATTCAAGAAAAAGTTGCGTTCACGCTTCATTGGATCATTCACGGTCGTTGATAAGAAGGGATTTGCGTATACGCTTAGCCTTTCACGCAAATAGCGCACACATTCTGTGTTCTAAGTTGTCTTGCTTAAGCCGTATCGAGATCCGCCCCACGTAGAATGGGAGGCGCTTGCGCCGCGGAAGTTGGCCTTGCCATCGGCTGCTGAATTCATATCTGGAGGTCAAGCTGGGCCTCCATCCGGGTGTGACCCGACTCCAACGCCCGAAAGCGAGCTTGCTTCGGATGGAGCGCACTCTAGTTCTTACTCGATGTCCCACGGAGACCACTCATCTTAAGGAGTACATTCTCATACTCCTCATTTGGTGCACAGACCTCCACCGACGCTGCTCGATGAGTAAGGAAATCGCCAGTTCCATGTGAAGATACTCCTAAACCGACGTTTTATTTACGATCAATACCAGTACCTGTGAAGTGGCGTGGGTAGCCGGAGTCAGAGAACTCACGGGAGTATGAGATTCCCCTTTGGAAAGATTGCTCCTACGCCGTGGATATTCTCGAGACCAAATTTGCATCCCGCCACTAGCGGTGTGGGTTGGCGGATTGGTGGTTACAGTCTGATGAGCACTCGCGCATACGTAGTAGCCGAAGCTTAGCGCGTGCAATTGCGCGATTTGCCTCGAGCCTTAAGCTTAGCACAATCATACCGAAGCTTGCGTTCGAGACGCATATGAACCACATTGGAATTAGACCTCAGACCGTACTTACAGCTGAGGCGAAGAGTGCGGTGCACAGCGAATGTAGCCTTTGTCGTCTTTGTCCATGGTTTTGCCTGCGAACAAGAGAATGAGTACAACCTTAATCGATGGAAACGGTGCACCGCGTGCTTGTATCTGAAGGTGTTCCTCGTACTGAATTTGCGTTGTCAGGAAGTCTCAAGGTACCTCTCACGAAGTGCCTGTCCACTTGACCCTCCCTCGGGAGAAGCAGCTAAAGGACCAATGATCTACGGTGCCAGCTTTCGGCCAGTCGTTTGAAGCATACGTTACTCTACACTGAGTGAAGTGAACACATAGTCACGCTGGTCTGCAAGCGTCGTGACGATTGTGCATAGCTCCTGGCGCTTTCTTCTTGTCGAAAAACCAACTGTTGTTGCTCATCGAGCGGGTTGGTGGTAATTGCATCATCCAAATCGGGCGTTGAATGCGGCGCCAATGGTGCATTCGCATCAGCACGTTCAGCGAACGGACTTAACATAGTAGGAGGGTTTAACTTAGGCATATGCAGATCGGACATTTTCCTTGCATCACCAAGAACAATGGTGTCACCACCACAGTCCAATGCCTCCCCCATCCCGACGTATGCACGAAAGACCGTGAATTGCTAGGCGATGAGAATATGGTGCTTAAACGTTGCATTTTCGTCAGGCGAACCGCAAGCGCACTGACCTCGTTTAGGAAAAAAGTTCGATTGACGTTTGGGTAAACGTCCGTCCGGTGGTAGAGGGTGTTAAGGAATCTCACGTCGTAGGATACTCGGTACACTGAGTCTTAGAGACACGCAATGGTTTCCCACTAAAAGAGATACAGAGTATCGCTTCGGCTTATAGGGTATGACGGGTGTCAGCCACAAGATAGAAAACATCTTGAAGATAATAATTTAAGACATGAGTACCTTGATTAGGTAATACTAGGGTTGAAATATTCTGTAGAGTTAAACGTTAGTGAAGTTCGGTTCCTTTTTTGATCTTGTCAAAAACACGTGACTTGCAAGACGTCTCTGATCGTTTATCGCTAAGAGTTAGCAACACATCCCTGATATAGCTACTCTTGACAAATAAGTGCTGTAGATTCACTGAACGGTTCGGTCCCCAGGAACAGGTAGGGCCCTTGTACTTTACGCTTTTCCACTAAAAGATTCTAGTTCTTTGGAACTAATATCGCTCGTTGAGCACTAAGCCTTCATCTGACTTCAGGAGCTGTGTGCAGCTCCACTACACACAGCCACGTTACATTGTGGGATGATGGGGATTTGTCTAGTGGCACTCAACCCTCCGACGAACAGATTGTATCAACTGCGCGTTAAATGCGCATGCGAAGCTGGGAGTGACTTGCTGAGGTGATGTGCTGTTTGGACAGACTCTGTCGTTGAAGTTTATCTCTATAGTCTTCTCGTACATACCCATCTCTCTCATACACATGAGGTTGTACAGCGCAAGCACATCGGCGTCGTAGAGTATCCGCTTATAATCCACGATGGACCATTTCCAACATATTTACATCAAACGTGCCAATTTGCAATGACACTCGTCTACGTCTTGACAAACAAAATGGTCAAATCAGAATCCAGACCGCTGAATATTCCAGGCGTTATTCACATGCATAAACCAGTTAATTACTTCTTTTTATTCACATTCACCACCCTTTTTACAATTCCCGATCTCCGCAGCGCATTGATTCTCGGGCAAATTGACGCCTAGTGTAGATGATCTACCTTTACTCCTTAGTCAGAGAAAGACTTCTTGACTCGTAGAGTCTTTTCGAATATATGACTAAATGAGTAATAGCTTCAAATGGTATAAAGTCTTACACACTCAGTTATACTTAACTTTAGGTGTATGTACATGCTATTAAGCTTCTAGTCCTGATCCAGGGGACTACTACTCCAAGGAATCACGTGGCACAAATGCCCAATATTTATGGCACCAAATCAGACACTAAATTCTTACGAATAGAGCATCTTAAAAAGACACGTGTCTGAAACTTATTAAAAGAGGACCTGAATATATTAATTGATATGTAGCAATGATAAACCTTACTTACTTCTTTAACCTTGAAACCAATCTACCTAATCGAATGGTCCTCGAAGTAGTTTTCCTTGTGTGTCACATTAAAACTACGTCTCCCCTATGAAGACCCTATAATGATAGATACCATCTGGCCGCAACTGATAGGTTGCGGTATTATTGCTTAGCGTATGTGATAAAATAGTACGCCTTATCATTGAGACCTGTATTTTTCTGTGTGTTTTACACAAGCGTACCTGGTTATCACAATCATTTGTGCAAACCCGTTACACCCAGTAATCGCAACTGCAGCACAAATAAGAGTCCACGAGGAATCAAATGATCAGCGATCGGCAGTACACTGTATGCGTCTCAGTCCCTACCACGTCCGTCAAATTGTGACAAGGCTATTCCGTTCTTTGAGTGTTTCTATTCTGTACTGTAAACGCCAACAAACGTTTTTACGCACATCTTATTAGCTCAATAGTTTATTTTTGACTGTTTTATGCTATATACAGAAGTTCAGAGGTGCGGAGATATAAGGGATTTGATGAATGTGTAAAATTTAGTGCTCAAACTTATAGACGGGTTGAACGTTTTTTATTGAAAAATTATCAATGTATAAATATATCACTGGAGCACCGATCTGCTGACTCGTCTGGCTAAAACTGGTGTGAAATCACCTGCACCAGATAGTATGACGAGGATAGTGTTCTAGCCCAAGCAAGCTGATAAACCCTGCACACAACTCTAATTGATCATGCAACAACTCCAGCCAATGTATTGGCGAGCACCATCGTACAATTTGACCCGGTGGTGGATCGCGCTTATTCTTGCCATCATCTTGGGCCTTGCGCTCGTCAACGCCGACGACAAAAATTTACCAGGGGCTGGAATCAGCCGTAAGTATCATTCTCATGACAACCACATTTTTAGCATAAGTGACTTCTGTTGCTTGTCTGCCCTTAACCCTGCTAGATGGAGCCGTTTACTACCGCGCGTTCGACGCGCAGACATATAACATTCTCTGGTATTTTCTTGACATCACGATTGCTGAGATCCCCTAAGTCTTTGGAAGCAGTGTCCTCTTCACCA